CGCGTGACGCGGCTCTCGCCGGTCGTCCACGGACAGGACGCGTGGCTCGAGCTCGTCTTCGACTGCGTGGCGGCGCATGCTGTCGTTCAAGTCGATGCGTTTGCACGCAAAGCGTTCGAAGGCAATCCCGCGGCCGTCGTCGTGCTACCTCCGACGCAGTTTGACGCGCCTGGTGCTGCCACGTGGATGCAGCAGGTCGCGCTCGAGCGCAACTTGAGCGAGACCGCCTTTGTGTCACCGCGCGACGCTAGCCCCAATGACTATAACCTTCGCTGGTTCAAACCGGGTACTGCACGGCATCCTATCAACCTCGGCTCTTGGATATGCCAATTCTTAGCCAAGGAAGTCGACATTTGCGGCCACGCGACGCTCGCAGCCGCCTACACGCTGTACGTCGACGGCCACTGCGCCAAGGACGCCTCCATCCGCTTCCACACCAAGTACGCATCACGATTGCATGACCGAGAGCGCGTCATTGCACATTTGTATCGTTGATGTATCGCATAGGAGTGGCGTGCTCACGACGCGGTATGTGACGCAGCCTGACGGGGTCGCCGGCATCGAGATGGACTTTCCCACAATGCACCGTGTCCCGCGTGACGAGGCGTGGCGGGCCGCGACGTCGTCGACACTCGTGGCAGCGCTTAGCATTGGCATCCATGACGTCATTGCCATCGAGCAGTACGGCACCGACATCATCTGCCATGTCACCCCGACCGCCTTTGCCAAGATGACCCCAAACTTTCGCTTGCTCCTCGTCCTCGACTGCCGGTACCGTCGTCCCTCGTCATGTGCTGCTCATGTAATACTCTCTCGGTTAGTGCGACGATCGTGACGTGTGCGGCGCATCATGTCGACTCGGGCTATGACTTCTACAGCCGCTTCTTCGGGCCTCGAAGCGGTGTCCATGAAGACCCCGTCACGGGCAGCGCCCACTGCGCACTCGCGCCGTATTGGTCGACGCTGCTGCCACAAACGAGCTTCCGTGGCCGACAAGAAAGCGCGCGGGGCGGGGACGTGAGCGCTCGCTTGGCCGGCGACCGCGTCTTCCTCTTTGGCACCGCCGTCTTAACACTGCGCGGCACGCTTCTTGCCTGAGGGAAGCCAACGAGCAGCGTCCGGTCCGACACCGTCTGCCCCGACTCATTAGCCTCAATAGACTCGCATCCCTAATGGTTGCAGCACAGGTCTCTGAACAACGCAAGCATGTGCCCAACGACGGAGCAAGCAGAATGGAGTGACCGAAATGACGCCATGCGACACATGGGTCGTCACCAGCGCATGGCTCTCTTGCAACGACGCTCTGTAGTCATTCCAAGTGAAGGAATGCATTGGCGATGCATAGCTGGCCCCATTTTGGTGTCGGATTGGACAAAAGCAGATATTTTTGCGTCCGCCTGGCACTTGGTGGCGGTCACTTCCAAGTAATAATACTGTGTCGTAGGCGTCGACTACGTTGCTATGACGGGCATTCTACTGTATCAGGATAGTATATCGTTGGAAGCGGCGCTATGTCATGGTCATCTTCGAGTCGTCGGGGAAGAGAAGGCCCTTCGTGCCCAGAAAGACCTTTTGCAGCGCATGCACGCGCGGGCGAAACGACTAGGATGCAATCAGCGCCTCGTACTACTGTATGTCGTCTACCTCAAACGCCAAGATCATCTTGGGCTCGTTCTGCACGAGAAAGGCCATGTAGTAGATGACGTCGGCGAACGTGATGGCCTCGTTGATGACGACGGCGCGAATGCACTTGGCCTCGATAAACTAGCCTCCAGAGCATCGATCGCCATCGCACAGCAGTGGCGTAGGTTACCATAAACTTTTCGCTGCCATTGCGGCGCTTCTTGCGCAGCTGGACGCCAATTTCTGGAATGACCAAGACCGACTCTATTAGCGGCAAGATGAGCCATCGATCGCATCGACTTGGCATGCGTACCTTCGACAATGGTACCGCCAAAGGACGACTTGAAGAGGGCGAGGATGACATAGAACGGGACGAGGAACGTGAGGAGGTCGTGGCGCGCGGCTGCGGTGGGCAGCGGCAGCCACGTCGCATATGCTGGCCCGATCCATGGCGACAGCGTCGGGATCAAGAAGACGTAGAGCAGCGTGCATAGCGTGGTCGAGCTGAGCAGACCGAGGAGGCTCAAGAGCCCCTTGGCTTCGCCA